AAAAAAAAAAAAAAAGCAGCACTGCGGGCATTCTCTGTCCAGGTGTCCATCCAACAGCCAATCATTACGTACCTCGTCCATCGGCGCCGGCATTGTCTGTCCACGTGGCGGTTCCCCACTGCACCGACTCCAGCTCCACCGAGTACAGCTTCACACCCGATAAGTGACGATACCTGACCCCGGTATACGGGATCAAACGCAAGAGAACCTGGGCCTGATCCACACCAGATACGGGAACGTTATCCTGCCCAGACAACATATTAACGGTTGACGTCACCGGCTCAGTAGCATCATTATGGTCCATAAACACCCGCACCCCTGCTGACGTCAACGGCCGCAAGCGACCGGGGAGCTCGCTCTCACCACTACTACCACCACCAGTACTGGTACCGGTCGTAGAATTGTACATACTGTGGCGTCGACTAGGAGCCGTTGACGTCATAAAAAACTCTCTCTCCCCTTCGATTAGAGTCACAGTCGGGATGGTCACGTACTCATGATCCTTGGAGTAGAAAAGGACCGGCCGTCGTCCGGATACCAACGCACAAGGTGTCAGCCATCTCCTCAAGTTGGGAGTTCCGTACGACTGGCGTCCGTACGACGTATGTGGAGGCTGCCAACGGCGAAATCCTCCTCGTCCTCCTCCTCCTCCTCCTCCTCCTCCTCCTGCTGCTGCTGCTGCTGCCGAGCTTTCCCGTTGCCGATCATCTGCATCTCCTCTTGTCCGTCTTGTGGGAGAGAGGAAGTCTGTCCTTCTCCTGTGTGAGATTGGAGAGTCGGGCGAAGAAGACTGTGGATTCCAGGAGCAGTCTGTTGTCGATTCCCCAGCGGCTTTCCTCTCCTCGCATCGCCTTGATCGCCACGGTACTTTCACTTCGTTCCGCGGACTCTCCTCTGCATTACCTCCACCTTGCTTGTCCATTTTTTCCCCCAGGCCCCCGATCATATATGCAGTACGAGGAAGTTAAATGGGCTCGGTTGATCGGACTCCGTTGTAACAATGGTTCTTTCTCTCTACAGTAGCCGTCGATCCTCGTAAGCAAGCGGCTTTCGGGAATCGATCAGTTCACCGCCTTTGTAGCTGTTCGTTGATCTTCAAAATGTGAGGTTCTGGAAGCGATCCGTCGATCTCTTCCATGCCCCTTCACCCGTATAGAACGCCCGGTCAATATAGCCGTATAATAGCCTGCATTTGACCAGTTTTCAGTCCAGATCCGGCGATAATGACCGTGAGTTCTATTCGAGTGAAGACGGTCGCCGTTCGTTGATCTTTGTGGTTAAGGTTCCAAAGCCGATCCGTCCTTTGATCTCTTTTCTAGCCGTTGATCTCCTTCGTAATCAAGGTCCGGGAAGAACGAAAAAATCGGGCAAGCAAGGACGTCTCAGACACGAGCTGTTTTCGTTTTTCTATCGAAGCTACGGTAATGGATTTCTTCACGGGCTGTGATGAATCGAAAAGCGAACTAAATCTTCTTCTTTTTCTTCACACACACACTCACACACCTGTCTCTTATACACATCTAGATGTGTATAAGAGACAGGTATTCGGGGGAAGACTTTAGGTCAGTTGGTACACCCATGAACTGTTGAGATACAGCCGCAAGCTCGAATCCAGATGCAAAAGAAAGAAGTGAAA